CGGCGAGCCGAGGGAAGACACTGAGAGGGGGGGGGGGGATCTCGCTGGTACTTCCCATGTAGCGTGGTACTGGTACTTACAAGAAGATCGTGCTGAAGGGTCCTTGCGTCTCTGCAGAGACACCTCCAGCCGCCTGGGTTGCAGTGGTTGCTGCGCGGCGTGAGGACCTACAATTCCTTGCCCCCCCCCCTGCAAGAGGTTCCGCATTCCAGCAGCAGCCCTCCGTTCGCAGTATCGTGCCACGTCTGGGTTTTCGCCAAGTCACTAGAGTTTGCCAGGCCACTCTAAACACACACACACACACACACACACACACGCAGGATCCCACGAGGCGCCTCACCGCCCTCCCCCAATTCACACATTAATTTGTTTGACGTTCGCGACACGCCCTGGACACGCCCCCGCCCACATACTCCCGCCTATCTTGTTCAGATCACTCGTTTTAATTAATAATTGTGCCCGGGCCTGGAATGCGCGCAAGGCAATGAGGAGCTCGCGGCGGCCGCGGCGCGGATGGCAAGTTCGAGAACTCACTCGGCGGCGCCGCGGCCGCGAACACGAGAACAAGTCATTGGATCAGGCAAAGCTGTTGTTGCGCGCCGCTCTGGCGCAGCCCTATGGAGCCTGGAGCTGTCGTTGGAGTTAGAGAGTCAAGTGGCAGGGCCGGGCTGCACCAGCCTCTCCGGGCCAAGTGTTTGTGCGTTTACGCGCGCCAGGGACTGGGCGAGGCGTGGGCGGCACTCCAGAGCGGGGCGGGGCGGGGGCGGGCAGTGTGCGACCTGCCGCGCACTCAGGCCCCGCAGCAGCTGGCTGGCGTCATTCCGTCCTGAGGCGGTTGTGTGTGAGTGTGTGCGAGGGAGAGAGAGAGAGAGAGTGGCGATGCTTGTCTGCACGTCTTTGGAGACAAGGAAGACCATATGAGAGGGTGCATACGAGAGCCAACATCCTGCGACAGACCCCGAACCGCCCCAGGCCGCCGAGGCCCTGGGGCCCAGGGGGCCGTACACTCCAAACAGCGGCCGGCGTCCACCACCTCGACCACCTTCGCTGTGACAAAACAAGACGATAACGCAACCTTTTCGTGCAGGAATGCAGAGCGGGGGAATTATGGGGGAGGCGTGAGGTAAGGGGGGGGGTGTCGGGAGGGTCCAGAAGCAAACAGCAGACTGCAGGGGGCAGGGCTGCAGGGCAGAGGCATGGGACGACAAGTGCTCCAAGCAGCAGGCCCCCAGCCCAAGCTCTCTCTCACGTCAGCGAGGGTCTTTACACTGAACAGACACGGCCGTCCAGGTACGGGCTGGGCCCCCCACACGACCCCCACTCTGCTGCACCAGATAGCACGAGAGGGGGTCCCGGCTTCCCACACACCAGCCAGGGTCTCATAATGCGCCTCAGTGGATAATGTGTGAAAGATTCTGCGTCACGATTGCCCTGTTAGCGAGTATGGAGATCCAAAGGGGGGCGGGGCGCGCTGCGTTAGGTGTCTTGGCAGCGATGTCGTGTCGTCACCGGCGTCACCGGCGCCGCGCAGGCGCGCGCTGAACAAATACATAATGTGTGCACAGCGTGGGGTCGACAATTACGGTCTTAGCAGGGCAGACACGGCGGGAGAGAGGGAGGGCCGAGGGGGCGGGGAGGGGGCAAGAGCGAGAAAGAGAAAGAGAGCGCGGGGCATATGTGCGTGAGGAAGTGTGCTATCGCGGGCGCACAAGCGAAGGCTCAAACAACCGCGCGACACCGTCTTCCGTGTTTGCTTTTCACGGCTGCTGAGCGCCGCTGGCTGAGCGCCTCTGGCTGAGTGAGCGGCCCGTGCGAGCGCCTCGCCCGCCACGCCCCGTGCTGCTGAGCAAACGCCTGCCTGCTGCAGCAGACACGGTCGAGCATGTCAACCCGTTTCAGGAGGAGCTCTGTCACTGACGCGCGCCCGACATTTACGTGATTCTTTTTTGTCATCTTGATTTCGTTTTCGTGAGAGTTTTCGGGCGGACACTGAAATCCATCTAATTTCGTGCCCGCTCGACTCCCCGACGCCGACGGCCGGGACCAAGCGTGGGTGCGTGGGCCGCGAGCGGAGTGCATTGCCAAGTGCACGCACGGTTACAGCCGCGGCCGGCCAGCTGAGCTGCTGCAACGGCCAGACGGCCAGGACGGGTGGCGGCTGCGGGCTGCACCTCACCTCTGGCTTTTCACGTGACACCATTTTGATTGGAAGTTTGTTTGACCTTCCCGACTACACCCTGGCTTCAACCATTGTGTTTCGCAGTTCAAAGCGAAACTTTCGGAGAGCGAGTTTGTTTTCGAATAGGCGAGGCGCCGGCCACCGGCTGCCATTCGAGAGAGAGAGAAGGAGAACGAAGGAATGCGCGTAAAGGAGTGGGAAGGATGTGGGGAGGGAGGGGATGAATCGCACCTGTCCGCCGTGAGCGCGCACCGTGTCCGTCCGGGCCGGCGGCAGGCGGAGCCCGCAGCGGAGCAGGCGACTGCTCTGAAAGGAATGCACGCCGCGACACTGTCAAAAACTCCTTCATTCATTATTTATCATTTTCAAACTTGTTTAATGTGACAATCGTTATGCCGACTCCTGCGATTTGTCATCATCCCGCTATATCGACGTAGGCAGGTTGTGTACTATATAGACACCGAGCGCGCCGTCGTTGTGCCTGCAGCATAAGCCTGCAGTCAGGGCGTCGTCGTCGTATAAGTTGCACATGCAGCGGAGCGGCCTAGATTCCACTGACGGGACGACGTGTGGGCTCGTGTCTCGCGGGCCTGGCCTGGCCAATGAATGCGCTCACTCACACACAGAGAGCGCGCGCGCGCGCACACGCACGCACATCCTGCCTGAGCGCAGCCCTTTGCGTGAGGCGAAGCGTCATCATCCAACCTAACCGCCATCCAGCAGAGCAGCAGCACCCCTCCGCCCACACCCCACACACCCGACACTCGACAGTCGCACCGGCCGACGCGACGCCGCCGCCCCTTCCCGCCCCCTCCCGCGCCGCCGGTCCCGGGGGCGTGGGAGGATGCGGGGCGGGCCGGGGCGCGGCGGGCGGGCGGGGCG